AGAATATTTTTCGCATGAAATAAAAAATGACATGATTTTTTTTTTTCGATAAACAAAGTATTACAATATAGAAATGAAAATATAGGATAAAAGTGTTCAGAAGTGAGAAATTTAAAGAACGGTATAATTACCTCTCTCTTGAGCCCTTTTTTTTAATCTTTTTTTCTAATCTCCACCAAAATTTTAAAGACTATTTATTCTTTTGAAAAAAAAAAATCTTTTTTTTCTATTTCATTTTCTACCTTACTCTCTCACTTGTCAAAAAATAATAGAGATCAATGGGAGATTCTTGTTGATTGGTAAGTATGATTGAAAACAAATGAGCCTACAACTAGAAAATTCGATGCCAGTGCAGTGTCCTGTCTAATATACTCCGACAATCAAGTTAGTAACCGGAGTAAGAAAATAGAATAGACACCTCTAGAGACAAATTTTTCACATACCTCATTAAGGTGGACATTCTTCCCTTTTATAGGTGCGGATGGCCAACTAGGAAAAAGGACGATGTGGTTGAGGTAGTAGGGGTGCACCGAGCTGTACGGGGCACCAGTGTTGTTGGTGTATGCCCCCGACAATTAGGGGGTGGCGCCTCTGTTTGCGGACCTGCAACCTATAGTCTGTGGGTGCCAGGTTGCAGTGCTCAGAGTCGTCAGTCGTACAACAAAAGCGGCAATGTACTCATCTGCCTGCACAGTTGTACGGTGATAATCGTTTGTGGTCCTAGATCTCGTTGTCACTTTGGGAATCTGATGCGTGTCCAACTTGGACTTACCCTCAACCAATTTAAAATTAAATTTTATGGAATATTATTATGAATATAAGGGTAACGAATACCCTGTATACAATAATGTTTACGATATTGACTATTATGGGTTTAAAGCCACCTGATATTACTTTGAATTCTATCTAAAAAATTTCATACTAATGAGTTTGTTGTCTTCACTTATTGTATGTCTAAGATCTTCCCAACTTTTAATTGAATTTGAATATGTTTGTCTCAGTGAACACTAAGAGGAGAGATGCATATGCCTAACCACCACTTTTTTTGAGTTCATAGGCTCTAACCAAACTTAATAAACAAATTGAAAAATTATTACAAAGTTGTATTCTCCAAGTACTTGCAAATAGGTTCCAATTAAATCCCATTTTGGTCTTATTTTGGTAGTATGTTATTCTATTTGGATCTTTAAAAAAAAAAAAATCTATGTTTTAGCCTTTAAACTTTAAAAATAGGTTTGAATATTATATGTTGGTTGGTATTGTATTTTCGATTTTGGTTAATTTGATCTCTATACTTTTAAAATGTTTATTTCTGTCCTTATACTTTCAACTTTTGTTTATTTTAGTCCACAAACTTACAAAACGCTTGTTTTGATCATTGTATTTTTAAAAGTGACCACTTTAGTTTTTATTTGCAAAATTTTAAACACAACGAAAATCCCTTTAATGCAAGTTTTATGAGTACGTTGCAAGTGAAATGTCATGAAAAACAGTGATTGAAAAAAATGATATGAAAAGAAAATGAAGCGACAAAAATGATCACTTTTAAAATTTATAGGGGACCAAAACATACGTTTTAAAAGTATAAAGACTAAAATATACAAAATTTGAAAGTATCTTAAAAGTATAACGACTGGAATGAACCAAAGCTAATTATTAAAAACACATTGCCAAAATAGTATTTAAATAGAAAAAAAATGACAATTTTAGTTGTCGAAAAAATAATGATTTCTCCGATTTGAATTTCTTTTATTTAATGGATTCGCATTGCCTTAGAAACGAAACTAGGTTTTCTCATTTTTAAGTATAAATAAAGCGCAAATACTCAGTAATCAAAGTATATGTTGCCAAAATTCTATTTCTTGCCATACTTAATTAACATAACTTAGATTTTGATTTAAAGCATGTGTGGCTACCACAATACTGTGTAATCTCTCTTTTGCAGACTTTGTCAAATCTCAAAAGTGATACAAATTTGATAATTTTGATAGGCCAAATTTATGTATCAACAAAACATATATATATATATATATATATATATATATATATATATATATATTTTATACAGACTTCACGAAGATACCTCAATTAATTAAAGTATATATCTCTAATAAAAACTGGCAGTTTAAAAAAGAAAATAGAGAGTTGCATGTTAAAGGAATAGTTATGTTAGGGAGGGAGGAGGGAGAAAGTGGTAAATTGAGAGGGAAATTATGCGATTTTGGCCAAATCTCTGTACATAAAAAACATATAATATATATCATCACAAGAATCATAATTGAGAAATATAAATTTGTAATCATAGCTTCACTCCAAAGTCCAAACTGACACTCGAACACACCATAACAAACAAACAAACAAATCCCTGCACACAACACACACACGCAGAGAGACGTCTCTCGCCCTTCTTCCTTCCGATATGGCCACCTCATCAGATCACGAC